GATGAAGTTGTGTGATGACCCGTTGTCTACGAGTACAACCACTCGTCGGTCCTTAACCCAGGCTGGTAGCCTCATTGTTCTTGGCCCTCTAACCCCAGACATAGCGTGCATCGAGATTTTAACTTCTTCCTCGAGCACTTCGACCTTGTTTCCTTGCTTTGGTTCCTCCTCGTCCTCAGAATCCTCCTCATCAGAATTGGCGAACTCAATCACAAAAGCCTGTTTACATTGATGACCCGGTGTAAACTTTTCTTCGCACTTGAAACAGAGGCCTTTCTCACGCCGGCATTTGACCTCCTCGGGAGATAGCCGCCTGATTACTGGCCCCAGTGGTCGAGTGCTGATGGCCGGTCGTGCGCCCGCAGTCATATAGATCGGGCCCGTGCGTCGTGTATCGGTGAATCGGTCGTCCGTTCGTCCCCTTCGGGTTGCAACTAGATGGTCTTCGCGGCGTCGGGCTACTTCCATGGCTGTGTGCATCGTGTCTGGCCGCTCAAGTCGGACTTCTGCGGCTAGATCGAACTTTAGCCCACCTATGAAGCTCCCACCAGTGCATCCTCGGGCCAATCTCGCACGCGGTAGGCTAAACGCTCGAACTCCTTGATGTACTCGCACAAGCTGCCCGTTTGCCGTATTCGTGCAAGAGCCTCGTTGTAGTTATGGTAATCGGATGTACCAAAGCGTGTGAGCAACTCCCTCTCAAAGTCGGCCCACGTGATGGCCTGTTGCCGCTTACGGTAGATCCTTGTGAGCCATTGCCACCATACATTGGCCTCACCATCAAGATAGAATGCTGCGTACCTTACTCGATCATGGCCTTCGGTTTCGTTGAGTTCGAAGTACTGTGCAGCACGGTTGAGCCAAACCTCCGGATCACTACCCGTGAATGTGGACATCACAAATCTTGGCTTGTCGGGCCTCGGCCGATCTGGATAGTTGGACGCATGCGATCGCTGATCGAACTCGTCCTCGTGCTCGTAGTCACCGCGTCGCCGTTCCACGTCGCGCTGCTCGTGCGCGCGCCGCTCCTCGCGCCGTGGTGATGGCGTGCGTTCGTCGTGCTCGGCGTGTCGGCGATGTTCGCGCCTCTGAGGGACGTTGTGCTGTCGTGGTTGTTGCTGCTGGAATGCCCGCAGTACCTCTTCTAAGCGCTGCTCGAGTCGTGCCATGGCGGCGTTGGTGTTGCCTTGGCCTTCGTCGAGCGATCCAAGCCTTCCCTCCATAACTTTGCTCATGCTTCGCATATAGACGTCAAGCTTATCGATCTTGTCCTTCATCTCTTTGTTGGCCATTGCTTTCTTCTCTTCTCTACGCTCTTTGCTTCGAGGACTCGTGATGATGATGATATTTTTTTTTCATAATGGGGGGACGAAAGAAAAAAGAACAAGAAAGGGAATGGGGTAGAAGAAAAACACACGTTCTAACACCTCTCAATGAAAGCATCAATGGTGAAGATCGTGTGTTTCGATTGCCGATAAGCCACGAACCCGCGCCTTGAATCGCCGATAGGTGTTTCTCTAGCCACAACCATGCCTATTGAAACGTATAAAATTGCAATAGAAATCTAAAAGAAATCTAAGACAAAGTGTTTGAACAGAAGTTCGGATTTTTATTGATAAACTGAATGATCAAAAATAACATAGGGAAGGGTGTAACACCCCGACTTTTTAACTTATCAGAGTACGCTATTTTCGCAAATTTTCTGAATAAACATAAAACATTAATTTTTGCGAAAACTGATTCGGGATGCTACCGTGAAAAACTTGCTTTTTCTGAAAATCGTTAAAATTTTAAACTGATAATTAAAACGGTTTAATGTCTTATCCGACTAACGTCGGAACAAAAATTGATAACAAGTACTGAAAGTTTTAGCGGAAGTCAAATGTGGCAAAACATATATACATATAATCACAAAAGTCCTGAACAGCACGCCCGCTCACTCCTCGTCCCCGACCTTGCGCCCTGAAAAACATGAAAAACGTGGGGCGTGAGCACTAAAACACTTGTGCTCAGCAGAAACTCATACTAATGTAAACATCGTAAATAATAACAATATCATGAACTAAGCATATATAACTGAACTGAAACTGAAACTGATATCTGATACCGGTCTGATCTCGTGACATAAGTCACGTAACTGATAACTGAAATCTGTCGGCACAAACTAATACCGCAATCTCCCGGCACAAACTAATACCGGACCCTGTGCACACTCTAGTGGTTAGATTAGGCCACTAGAACCCATAATGGACCGGCGACCATTCCGAGGGGATACTGAATATACATACCTCGAACATGGTAGCGTAATTATAAACAATGTAGTACTTAGTCTGAGTCCCCACCTGAACTACTGAAACTGAAACTGAATGGCAGTGATGATGCCTGATCAAACTGAAAATAATATAAACAATTACTATTGACTATGCTCAGACTCATAATTTAACTGATTAATTGTGTTAAGATGCTCTACTGAACCTAACATGATATTCGGACTTATTCGGTATAACTAAAACCGGCTAAGTACGAAACTGAACTGACATAAATTAACTGAACTGAACTTGACCCGGAATTTTAACTGAAAATAACACT